GTAAGTGTATGCGGACACGCCCATTGAGGTAGTTTAAAGTCTATTTTTCGTACAAAACAAAAGGAATAATTGCAAATCTGATACCTTGGGATGCGTACTGACTATAGGTATGCTGGTCTGACGGGGGATGCTCATCTGACAGAACACCGGCGGTGTTTGGATCAGAGTGCTTCTTTCCATGCAGCAGAATCCTAAAAGAACTCCCAGTAGATCCAGCAAACGCTTCACCTCCATTCCCAGAAGCCCCAGCTCCAGTCCCAGACTGCTGATGTCTTTTATCTGGTTGTTTAGATGCCTCTTCATGCTGCTGTGGCACTGCCACCGTCCCATAGTAAAGACTGTCTCTCTCTTTTTGTGTCCCCGCCAGTGGACCGAATCGTGGGCCTGGACCAGGTGGCCGGGATGAACGAAACAGCATTTGGTGCCACCTACAAAACCAAAAAGGGCATGTTCCGTACAGTGGGGCAGCTCTACAAAGAGTCGCTCACCAAGCTGATGGCAACACTGAGAAACACCAACCCCAACTTTGTCCGCTGCATCATCCCCAACCATGAGAAAAGAGTAAATCCTCTCTTTAACTTCTCCCTCCGTACTTGTTTTGTGTATGTAGTCTCTTTTTTGATTCTAGTGCCAAACATTTTTGCTTCCACAGGCTGGAAAACTTGAGCCTCACCTCGTTCTGGACCAGCTGAGGTGTAACGGAGTCTTGGAGGGAATTCGGATCTGCAGACAGGGCTTCCCAAACCGCATCATCTTCCAAGAGTTCAGGCAGAGGTGAAAAACTTGGACCCTTTTCAACCTTTTTTTTAACCATTTAAAGATGTTTCCAACCTTAAATATTTTGTTTTTTTTAATTTTCAGATATGAGATTCTTACACCCAACGCGATCCCAAAGGGATTCATGGATGGAAAACAAGCCTGTGAGAGAATGGTAATGTCGTCTTGTTGCTCTGTTTGGTGATTTTTATCCATAAATTGGTTTGTCTTAACAAGCTCCTTTGTCAGATTCAAGCCCTAGAACTGGACCCCAACCTGTTCCGTATCGGTCAGAGTAAGATCTTCTTCAGAGCTGGTGTCCTGGCCCATCTGGAGGAGGAGAGAGACCTGAAGATCACAGACATCATCATTTACTTCCAGTCCGTCTGCCGTGGATACTTGGCTCGCAAGTAAGGCTTTAATCTCTGGATTTTTGCTTTAAAGTTCAAATAGAAAACAAATACTTAATAGTTTCTCATGTATAGTACAAAAGTATGGTGTAGAATGTACAAAATTAAATATATCAAGTGAAAACATTTCCAGCATTTTGTTGTTTTTAGCGTAAATGAATTCACTAAGATAGCATCATTTACAAAGCATCATTTAAGGCGCCCGTTCTGCATCAATACATTTCTTTGATCACGGTGTTAACCTGGCTGCTGTTTACCGCCCGTA